CAGCGCATACATTGCAATCATAAGTTAAAATGCTTTGCAAAGACATCATCCTTAAGCCATCGGATTATCTCGCACATGAATCTATCCATTGATGTCATATCCCACTGACCTTAAAGATAAAAAGAAAGGTAAAGCGTTCAGCTGTAGCACCCTTCCGGTCTGTCCATTGATGTCGTATCCCACTGACCTTAACTCAAAATCCAATCAAATGGTGGCGCCATGCTTCGGGGTCTACTTCACATATGTTCCGAAGCAGAAGTAATCTTTGCCCAGTACTTTTCGGTGATAAGTCGCAGTTTTCCCCGAGTACAACAGACCCCACATCTGTCCATCTGTGGTACAGTGTGTGGATGGTGTCGTAGTTGACCCGACAAATCTGAGTTTGGCTGGTCGGCGAAAGATGAGCTTGCTGGCGACAGCGTCACGAGGTCAGGTTCTACGTGAATGAAAATATTAATGATATGTGAAAACAGAAACGAAAAGACTTGAATCAACGTCATTACCTTTAATCAAAGACCAGAATGACAGGGAAAATGAATGAAATCCAGGCAATGAACTCAGGGAGTGACAAGTTGCAAGCCACTTTTTGGTTGGACCGGAAAGTGTAAGCGGCAGAGTCGAATGAAGGAGAAGGTGTCTTTTGGGTGGTTTTTGTCGCGATTACTAGTTGAAGTTTCGTTAACGTTTCTATCCTGGCCCTAATGTTCAGAGCCTATCGGCCGGAAAAATGTCGTTGCTATGTAGCAAAACGGTACGATTGTGTTGAACAAGATGGTACTACTTGCGAAATACACTCGTTAGCAAATTAATTTGGCTTTGTTGGGAGATTGAGCTGAATCTCAGCCAGATCTCTCGCTAACAGTGGTTGAGGCTGCCTTTTTTCACTTGGTACGATGTTCGAGATAACTCAGTACATTTACTTAAAAGAACACTGCGCTCAAAGTTGTCGAAAACTCTTCGGCAACGCATGACACAATTTGCGAAGTAAATCCATTTTCAGGCTAATTTAGTTTTGAACGGTAACTCAGCTGGACGCCAGCTGAATTTCTCGTTTGTATTGTCCGCCATCTGGCTAAGCTATGGAAAGATCTTCCCTTGTTTCAGATGGCATGATATTAAAGATATCGCAGAAGATTGAAACCTTTCGTCGGTTGTCGAATAGTTTTCAGGAAAGTTAGGAGCACCAGGAGTCTTTAGCTGACCAAGCTTATCTGCATTAGGCAGCGTGATATTTCATCTCGATGCTGTCAAGTCAGGTCAATTTAGGTTAGAAATAGAAAACAACCAGGATAGGCCAACTGAGTGGTAATGTCTATGCAGCAGGCTTTATGGGCTACTATGCCAGCCCTCGGTTTGCACTTGGACGCCCCAAGAGTCTCTTGCGTACCGCTGGAATTAGTGAAAGGATGCTAGTCGGATCGTGTTCCTCACTGTTGATGGCATCCAACAAGTCAAAACCAAACAGATTGATTAGCCCTAACTAAAATCCCTGAACGTTTACCTAACCTAGGCTGATGTCTGCTGTATTCAAGCAGTACCAAGAGAAAGTGGTTCTCCTACTCTTAAGTGGTCTACTCCACAAACAAAAGTTAAAAAAATGCATACAAAATACTCGTCTGTAGAAATACGACAATAGTTCTTGTACGCAAGTGAAACAAACAAGTCTGTATAGCATGGAAAAAGAACCCATACATTCTGAGAGAAGAGTGATGTGTTCATCCAAGCTTTTTGCATCTCATCGTGTAAAAGATCTAGGAAATGCAACTTCCGGTTACCTTGCTATTATCGCTTAAACTGACTGACCATACAGTTGACCACATTTCATTGACTGCTTCGGATTATGAACATGAGATATCTTGCAACTCACTTAAAGTCATTCGTAAGTGTTCAGACAACAAGTACTTGTATTTTCAAGTTGTATTATTCTTTTACCTCAGCTCTTATCCACATGTGCAAAGCTAGCAAAATAGAGGACAGCTTATGTTTTGGCTCTGGTCCAACGTGGCCTCCCACCAGAAAGACGGAATATAAGTAAGCCGATCAGGAACCGTACAGCATTTCTACTTTATGTCTAACGTTTGCACTTTCCATGAACTAGACTGCGAGAAAGAGGAAATTTTTCGTCAGAATTGAAAAATTTAGAAAATTGGCCTTCCAATGCTCCACTGAATGAGGATTCCGGGGGCAACTTGATGTTGGACGTCCACCTTCTACTAGGTGATCTGCTGGTCCAGATTGCGTGTCGATATTCAGATTGAAAACTTTATACTTCATTCTCCCTCACATTAGAAACAATACATGTGCCGTACATATGTCTGTCTGAGAGAATGACGAAAAAATGCTGCATCCAGCGATAATAAATGATTCAACTCATGCAGATCTTGGGAATGAATACTTCACTGTTAGACCGAAAAAAATTGCGTGTTGGCGACACGTGGAGCTGGTTCGTGCACTTGGATGTTGTGCCTGCCTTCCGTTCAGTTCAAATCCTACAGAATGCTATGCTATGCTTCTCACGTTTTTCGGAGTGACATAATAGAGAATTTTGTGCGCTCCAAAATACCACCCCTCATCATATTCTGTTTAACTGGAAATAGCTTACACTATCCTCTTCGATATCTTCACAGCGAATGGACCAGCGCATCGAACATATGCATTCGCATCGACCTCGCCTGAACAGTCCTCTTCCTCGTGCTCACCATTAATCATGGGCAAAGTTATTCTGATGAGTTCGAACCAATGAGGGACAGCAATGAACTCGAATGTCGCTCTTGTTATAGTTCATCAGGTGTGCGACTAGGTACTGAATACTATCAACAATCATTGAACTCGAGGAATACATGAATTTGCAAATCAATTTGGTTTTCACGAGAGACTCAACTGAATCTCTCGTTTTATGATGTTCTACAACTGAATGTGCTGCACACAGGCCACCTCATGTTTCAGTTGGCACGATATTCGAGATACCGCAGTAGATTTTCACAAAGGAGTTTAACGTAAGGTTGACGGAAACTCGGGGACTGCGCCTACATGATCAGCCCCAAGAAGGGCGACACTGGTCGTGAGTTGTCGACAGATTTTCAGAAACCTTGTAAGTAGTTTCCTTCATGAAAATCCTTGAACTCGTTAGAACAAACCATAGACATGTGACAGACTATAGGAATTATGCAAAGGGGATTTGTTAGGCAGTTAACCATAAAAGTTGTACTAAAGATCCGTGAAAATTTTTACTATCTTTTAGTCGTCAAAAGCAAGTGGGAACATTCCATCCTGATAATTGTGAAGTACCGATGTTTATAGTATTGGGTGAAATGTATGAGTTCTTCTGTTCCCATTATGTGTGCACCGATCCATCTCCAAAAAGGTTTGGTTCTGAAATACACTGATTCCGGATCGACTCTGGAATCTAGAATTGAGCATTGTTGACATCGGGTATGAAATAGACAAGACCTTAAAGTCTGAATCAATCGTAACTTTGAAAGCAACAAGAACATACAATCTATTTTCATAAAGGAAACTACTCACAAGGTTGCTGAAAGCTGTTCGACAGCCCACGACCGGTTTCGCCCTTCTTGGGGCTGATCAAGTAGGCGCAGTTCACGAGTTTCCGTCAACCTTATGTTATACTTGAACCCAAATTAGAGTAGTTTCCTTTATAAGAATATACTGCGATATTTCGAACATCGTGCCAACTGAAACATGAGGTTGCCTGTGTGCAGCACATTCAGTTGTAGAACATCAAAAACGAAAGATTCAGTTGAGTCTCTCGTGAAAACCAAATTGATTTGCAAATGAGTGTATTTCTCGAATACATACAATCTACCTTTCTGAGACCAACTCATTTATAATTTTCTAGTGGGTCCACAACGTGTGTGAATTTTCTCCACCTAATCTTGCGGTGTCTAACGAAGCATAATTAACCCCTTGCACATGTAAATATACTGCACAAGCACTGTAGCATGAACAGGTCGGCTTTTTGACTCCCGCAGCTTTTAGAGTCTACCTAACCATTGTCCACCCCTTTTATGTGTATACCTGTGTCCTTGTGTCGGCATGCCAGCGTGCGTGCTCCCTCCCGTGCCTGCGTGCTTGCGTGCGCAAAGTGCGCACGTGCGTGCGCTTGTGTGGCATGTTTGTCCAGGCCGTCACGTTGACTTGCCTGGCCGTGGCTAATTAGATTAGGCGACTGGTCCAACTGTGCAACCAATATGCGTGGTTCTCTAGCCCTAGGCAAATGTAATTTGACAGTCATGCACGCCAACTTTGATTTGGGTTGTTCAAACAGGTTTGGCTGATTTCTAGCCAACTGTTTGTACTAAGGCGAAGGAATATTTTGGCGGAATTTCCTGCCACTTGTTGGTTAAGTTGTAACCAGTATCTATCAGTGGTCCTGTAAATTGAAGGCACAACAGATGAAATGAGTATTTATAGAAGGTTTGTTCAACTCTGCCAGGACAGTCACTTGAACCTGGTCGCGAACACTGTGTACGTTCGCCATCCTTTCTTTAGGTCCGATGGAACGATCGTACGGATGAACTCTTTTGGATAAGGGACCCCAAGCAAACCAGTGGGGCAATAAAGCATTTCCATGTGTATATGTTGTGTTTCAGAGCGAAATTGCTGCCCCCGTGTAACGAAAAGCTACTGAGGACAGAAAGCTTCAGTCGTGGCCTACTTGATTCAAGTGGCCTCAAGCGCATTCTGTTTCTCCTGACAGTAGTCGCCTTTTAGAGGGAGGAACTTAGAGTACATCATGACTGACAGGGAATGTTTATGTACAGTGTTTATGGGGGAAGTCCTATTTAAAGAAGACTCTGTTGAGGGGCCGCTCCCTACAAGTATCCGTTCCCCCCCTGAGGACAAGAATAATTCCTGTGTTTGATTCAGTAAACGTTGTAAAGCGGTTCCAGTTGACGAACATAGAAAGCCAGACACATATTACTAATAACTCACGTCTTTACGTTCGCTCATGGTAGTCTAACATATCTCCGGTTTTTGAAATGCTGCCTTTTCAGCTGCACGATCAACTCAGTCTGATTCAAAATGCCTGGCCGGAGCTTTTTGTCATAAATGTGGCTCAAGCGTCAACTCCCCACACCCCGGAAAGCTTCAGATCACACAACAGTCCAGAGCTTTTTGAGGCAACTCCAGCTGGAACAAACAACCAAGGCTTGTGTTATAACTTGAGCCCAAGCCGTAAGTCACCATGTTCACAAGAAGGGATGGATGCAACCAGGTCGAATTCGAAAGAAGAAATCCCATCTACTTCAGAGCTGGTCGATAGATTTCAAGACCAAGTTGATCGTCTACGCATGCTACAGTTGGATATGGCAGAATTCGTCAGCCTCAAGGGCATTTTACTTTTCAATGCAGGTATGTCTGTGTTTCATTAGTCTTAGTAGTAATTTGGATAAAGTATGTCGTCGGTTAAAAGGAGACCAAATTCAGATTCACTTGAGACATAGTGTAGTGCTTGTAAGCAGGTTCAAACGTTTGACCAAAACTGCATTTAGTCGTAGATGCAGAAAATCAGGAATCATCATCAACAACAAAACTTCACTGTAGTAGTGGTTTTCTAAACTAGTACAAGACGACCCCTCATTTTTTCCTCAGTCCCACTCATTGGAACCCAGCTAACTGTATCGATCGGCAAGCATGCTACAATATCATAGGCGTATATTATTGAATTGACCGATAACATTTTGCTCGACTCAATATAATCGATGAAAGTGCACCAGTTTAACTGCGCAACTGACTGAAACTATTCATTTATGCAGAGCTTTCTTGGAGAAAAGTTCCGTCATTTCGTATGAATTATTTCACTAGTTAAATTATGCTCCAAGTACTCCAAGTGTATTACAGCCTTTTGAAGAGCAATTCATCATCATCATCATCATCATCATCATCATCATCATCATCATTATCATCATCATTATCATCGTCATCAACATCATCATCATCATCATCAAAGACAGCAAGCATACTGAGGTGCCTACACCTCCAACCGCTCAAGCAGACAATCTGGAAAGANAGTGGGTGAGGGAGGGGACCTAGTGCTGGCCTATATCAATCATACTGAGGTGCCTACACCTCCAACCGCTCAAGCAGACAATCTGGAAAGAAAATGACAGCACGAACGCCACTGACATTGATTAGCCGCCACGAAGCGACCGGACCTTACCGTGCTGTGGCGGTTCGTGTACCTCGACGACACACTGAGATATACTGGGGAGTGCCCACACGATGTTCACAGAGTCTCTCATACCAGGTTGGTCCATGGGTAGAGGTCCGACGAACGCAGTCTCCTGGCCCTCCACCTTGGGGGTTGGAACATGTATGGCGACGTGTTCCGTAAACAATGGTGATGTACTTGCATTTCCAGCCGAACACCACTGCCTTGCGGTTAGGCTTTTGAGCTAAAAACTTTGGTTGAGGACCCTGTCCTCCTGTCTAGGTGTGGGCGCCCTGGCAGTATCGCAGCCCTCGTACAACCAGGAAGAGCAATTCGCATGTTAGTGAATCCGCTATGACAGGTGGAAAGCATATACCTACTGAAATAATCTAAAGTTTGTCCCTCACCCAATCTCCCCGAAGCTACACTTGTCTCTTCGAGACAAAATCACGTGCATGTCCGTGCAAAGAGAGACGAGCTTGGTGACACCAATTTTCTCAGCACTAATAACTACTCAGGACACTTGTCTATTGAAGAGCTGAACGACAATGTCATCCGCAAATTCCGACCAGCACCAGTTATCAGAACGACAGTGACTCTGCATGATCACTTAATTTAGTATTAATAGTCAGCAAGTGGTGCTGAGAATTAGAGACCACTACACAGGGGAACGTAACATACTAAGAACACCACTCATAGGTTTGCCACAAACCCTTCAACAGCCCACGACCATTCAAATGAGCGTATTTTGCGAATTTCATACAGTATGGTTCCAAGCAGAGCATCGGCTTGAAAGCAACTCGGCAACTCCACCTACATGATGTGTCTCGTTGAGAAGAGCGAAAACATTCCCAAGTGTCTTCAGCAACCTTATTGGTAGCGGCCCTACAAGAAAAAATGCTACGATCTCTCGAATATTGTCCCCAACGAAACATGAGGCGACCTTGTGCATCACATTTGGTCGCAGAATATCGTGAACGATAGGTCTGACTGGGATTCAGGTGAGTTTGCCTTTATGATCAAAGTGTCTTGGAAAAAAGTGTATTCTGCTAATATCAGGAACAGTTTCAAGCATGAAGAGTGTGACACTTTTGACAAAGATTAAGTTGTTGATACAGAACGTGAAGAAGACACTCTTGTTTTGTAACGACGTTTTGGACGTGATCGACTATACACAGGAAAGAGAAACTAACTAACAAGAGAAACATCACAAACGAGAGATTCATCTGGACTCTAGGTCAGTCTCTCGAAAAACCAAATTATTTGCAAATGAGTGTATATTCGCCAATTTCGTGAAATTTGGTTTCAACTAGAACATAAGGTTGACAGAAACCCGAGGACTGCGCCTACCTGATGAGCCCAAAACAGGGCGGAACCGGTCGTGAGTTGTCGACGGATTTTCAACAAACTTATGAGTAGTGCATTAAAGATCTAACTATCCTTTTAATGTAATATTCCAAACGACCTAAAGGAAATTCGGTAAAGATGAAATCGCCGTCTATTTCTGGACGTAACTGTTAAATCGTCTTTGGAGTTGCTCAAAGAGGGAGGATCCTGAGACTGTGGCGTTTACAATAACTTCTTTTTGTAATAACATAAAACACGGTAAGACTAATACACCAGTTGTGTTTTGCACTGTGTACTGTCAACCGTTCATTTCATTCGTAATTTCCTTGCTCCAAAGAGCGATTCCTAGACTCTTCCTTTTCTACAACAAGTCGGTTTTAATGCTTACAGCGGTTTGTTATTGTTCAGCAGCGCTTCTGAGGGAACAGAGCAGCACAAATCTTGCGTCCAGTAAGACAAAGGATGTTTCTAAGAGACTAGTAAAGGGGTCAGTGGAATACAGTACAGTATTAGAGCTAGACGATCATCTACAAATTCACTCAAGTGAATGACAGGTTAACCTCTGGCTCACAATATATCTATTATATATATTAAATATGTGGCAGGGGCCGCCACATGTTTCTCTTGAATCGAAACTGAGGATATCGAGGCATTTTTCTTGATACCACAATACGCAACGCAAAAGGTACGATCTGCTGACGGGAACTCAAAGACTAATTTTACTTGATGAACCCTAAAAAGGGCGAAACTGGAAGTGTGCTGGTTTGCGCCGGCCTTATAAGTGGTATTGTTTCAAGGAAAATACAGTTGGATTTTGATTTTTTCGAAGAATGATAAAACTCGGTGGTATCATTCAATAAATTATGAAAGTATTGAGTATTTCGCAGACGGAACGTACTACTCATAAGATTACTGAGAATTTTAGTAGCTCATAACCGGCTTTCCCAGCAAATTCACTTCAACACTACTGTCACTGAGAGATCCAGCTGGAGTCCATCGTTAAAACCATACTGGTTGGAAAACAATTGCATTTAAGTGAATATCTTTAAAATAGAGCCGCAACAATGTGAGATGGATTCTCCCTTACTTGGGAACTGTAAAACAGGCTGATTTATGGGAGGCGAGTGTCACTCAGAATGACATAGGCACGAGAATGAATTCTGTGAATGGCATTTTACTTGTGGTCTTTTTCTAACCATACCACATCTGGCGACATTTCTACGAGCAACCTTCGAGGCACGAATTAAGTACGCCTGTCTTGCTGCTGAGCTGACTGTAAGGAACAAGCTGGGTTATTGTGTGTGAGAAACATGGTCCATTGCTCATCACCCCGATGTGGTTAAATGGCCAAACAGCTGTCATCGGAACTTCATTGGATCTGGTGTATTGGTCGACCCATTCGTTTATCTTGTTCTGATGTGTGCTTGTTTGCTTAGTGAACCAGCCAATTAGGCAAAGAAAACACGCTAGGTCGAACCTTGTTGCCAACATGTTGCTTTTTCCTCCGAAGCATATCCACCCTGGAGATTATTGTGCTATCTCGCGCAGGGACAATTTCTATGACGTTCAAGTATTCACCCACGTGTTTCCTCCAACCACCTCTTGTACCCATTTGCTCAGCTGGAAGTGAATCTCTTGCAACAGTTGTCGCACTAACCATGTTCTGATCCAGACGTAGTCTAGGCTTCCTGTGGCGTGGCTGATTTATGGTCCTGTTCTGAAGAAGTAGTCCCGCTGAAGTTCACACAAACCCAAACTGCCAATGGTTTAAACTTGTTCCTACTCGCCCCTGACCATAGTAGGGGAAAAATTTACACTCTAGGGTAAAGAAGTAGTTAGAGTAAAGAAATCGATGGTTTCCGGAATATTATTTAAACGGTATGTGCGCTGTTCTGTCTTAGAGATGCTTGGAACTAGAAAAAACCTCATCGTCAGGATACAGACTTCAATGATTCATTAGTGTTGATTTGTCCTACTTTTCTAATACGTCGGAGCTTTGTAAACTTGCACACTGAAGACTTCGTGATGTGAGGACTCTTGATTGGGACAAGTATTCTTACCCAGCAGTGTTTAGCATCCTGAGAACTGCCTTCACGAAGACCTGAGAACTACACGGTCTAACCAGAATAACTGGAAATATGATAACCGCGTATCAATGTGAGCGAATCTTTCCCTCAAAAACGATTGGAAATACTGCTGTGTAATCGATCCAATGCTAGCGCTACGTGTGGGAATATTTGGACAGGAACAAAGATCAAACGCTGATACTCCATGCAACTTGTTCATTCACCTACCACAACCCAGTTCGGAGTTGTTTCTTGATAAACCAGCCTATGAGGTATCTTCCTGTAAGTGCTGAAAAGCCAGGAACAATTACATAATCGTCGTGTCTTTATTGGGGATCAGCAAGAATGCAGCAGAATGCACTGGTTGAATATCGCGCCCAAGTGTAATCTTACCATCACTAGTCAACCACTGGTGTTCAACCACTGAACTCAGGACCGCACACTTGAATCACCCAAGAGGCGCCTGCAGCTGCTGCTGGTTGTAAACAAGGATGAATCGCATGTACAGTTCTTGGATTTCGATATGGACTGACACCATGTTCAGGATGAAATCTCATTTAAAACTTCAGAATATTCTTTCTACTACACATTTAGCCGAATTCACACCGAAGCCATGGATGGTGGGGCCAGAGTCCGCCATGCCTATGGCAGCTAACAGAGTATTAATGGAGAGTGGTGAACTTTACAGTGGATTGACTCAGCCAAAGCCAGCGATAATGAAAAGATATTGATCTTTGATAAATGCATTTTTATTAGGTCTGTACATTATATGGGGCAACAATCACCATTTAAGATTAGATGCATTCTTAAGTAGGACCAATGGGCGTCCGGTGCGACTGCCTTTAATTCAACGTCTAATTGTCCACTGCTCAGTTCTTGAGGTTTCTTTCCCACAATATATGGAGGAACATTAAGGGTTATTCATTGTTCGCTTCAATTAGTTCTAAAGTCTCATCTGATGAACAATTCATTGAGCACTCCTAAATTTTTCTTCCATAGAAAACGGACGAGTCGTTTATGCCAGGTGTTCTAAAGTCTTTTGGGATGGAATCACGTACGGAAGAAAGGTGCCTACATAAAATGGGTTCCAACCTAGATCTCCAATGTAGTATAAGGCTTTCCGTGTAGGGGCTCTGTACAAGTTTTTTTGGTGAGATTCTTGGTCTGACCAGCTGGTGACTTACTCCCATAATCCGACCACCTTTGGACAACTGGATCACTGTTTTGAAGAAATGCACTCATTTGCATGCAAAGTTAGCTTTCAAAAAAGACTTAAGCGGAACTCAGCTAAACCTCTCGTTTATGGTGTATTAAGGGGCTAGTTATCAATTGTCTGGACGGCCTAATTCGGACCACCCTATGGATTTAAACCTCTGACCAAATCCCGAAATACAGTCACATGAGTGCTGTTTATCACTAGTTTTTTTTACAAATAATTTAGGTTCTGGGACCAAGATCCACACCTGAAGTCACACTTTACGGCTTTGGGGAACGGTCGGTTGGCGCATGACCCAGAGTGGAAGAGCTCTAATTAAGTGAATAAGGGGTTATGTGACCAATCCTTCTATGCCCTCCGGTCCACAAGCTATGACGATAGAAATTCTCGGTGACTAGCTTTCCGGAGTAAGATAATGCTGCTTAAGGTATCAGTAATACACTCTGGGAGGTTTATCTGCGTGTATTATGTTGCTGTCACATAAGAAAACTATCGAATTGCTGATATCCGAATCGGATGTACTGGTCATTCGTAAGCAAACTGCTGAGCCCCCACACACAATAGAAGGCCGATGACAGCTTGTATGAAGCCGGATTCAGTGGCGCACGCAAACTTTTGGCATCGATATAAACCAGAGTCACTAAGGTGAGTGGGCGAACTGCTGAAGCCTGAAGGAAGACGTCAGCCAGTCTAAATATGAGAGCACAACATTGGACCAGTTTATCATCGAGAACCCGGTGTCATCCACCAATTCCTTTGAGTTTCGGCGTACCAGTAAAAGGAAGAAGGCCTTCGCTGCGGAGTTATTTATTCGGAAATGCCAACTGACCGGTTACAGACCATTGAACAGGGAAGCAAAACTCTAATCTGCATCTTAGTTACAAAAACTGGACACAGCTCTTCTCCCGAACGAGTCTTCCTAGAGATTCGTTGCCTCCACTCATTCGTCGGTCAAATCCAAGCAAATTTTACAAAGTGGCCACCCGAATTCCGCAACAGAATTCCCTTTTTCAGTCGACGCAAAGCGAAATTCTACGAACAACACATATTACTCGCGTGCCTCCAGATCAATAGTATCACCGTTACACCAGTAGAACACTACGCAAATATTTCCGGGAGCCACCAATTGACACAACACTACGGTGGTGATAGATAACCTGGAGGTATTCCATTACCTCTGGATCAATGATGTTAGCTTCAAGGTGACAGTGTATGGCGAACAATCGTTGAGAAATAAAACAAGGTAAGGCAGTGTCTCACAAGGCCTATTTTGTCTAGGCTAGTGCTTGAGCAGGCCGCGAAAGTCCATGCGGTTGGAGCTGATTTGGAAGTGTTCAGCTCCTTCCGAGTAGTAGTAGCGCATAGAGTCGCTTCTCAAAACTCCTCACATTTCCAATGACAGCGGCTTTCAACATAGTTCCTTCCAGCTCCCTCAAGGGAACACTTCTGACTCCCCCCAGAGCTAAGCACCCTAAAGAAAGTGCAAACAATATAAGTCTAAAAAGTTCTATATATTTCACTCCCTGTAACTGAACTATGTGGACGATTCTCCACTTCATGACTGACAGATTTACATTTGTTTTCTTACAGAAGCTCCTGGACTGTGTGACTCGGCAACCGTCGAATGTATACAAGAAAAGATTCAATCCGCACTGGAAGAATATGACCGCAGTCAATTTTCACATACTCAACCTTTCCGTTTTGGGCGTTTACTTCTCCGTCTACCGAGACTTCGTCAAGTCACAGGAGAATGGATAAAGCGCCTTTTCTTCCCACACTTTGACAAGCACGTATCCGTGGAACAACTAATTCGAGAAGTTCTCTATCATGGGCCACCACCGGTCGGTTCGAACGGCATTGACCAGCCGACAGTTCTAGACCTCAGTTCAGAATCAAATACGATCCCCGTGGGAACGCTTGCAAGTGGTCTCCCCCAGTGCACACCTGAGAAACCAGAAGGAATTAATTACCAGAAAACCAACTGTCACTCTGCAACGGCTGAACGACCACTAAACACGTCTGGTTCTTCTGTACGTTCTCTTCTCTATGCTGAGAGAAAATACTCAGATCCATTGCGGGATACAAGGAGCATTCCCATCAGTAACGACCTGCCATATTTGGACCAGAACCTAACTTCAAAAAATGTTCCCCTTCCATTTCCACTAATGTACACTTCTCTCCAGCATCCACTTCAAAGATGTGTGGAACACAAATTTGTCCGTTCCACCGGACATCATGAAAAAGACGTGGATTTTACCGTTGAATCAGGCTTACAGCACCATCACAGAAGTGACTATCAATCAAGACCCCCTGATCCGTTTAGTACTGCAATTCGTACAAGAACTGGTTGCAATCCGCACTTTGAATTCAAGTTGGGAATACCTCAAGATCAAGCGACGTGTCTGTCCACGGAAGCAGTTGAAAAGGCTTTACGCGGAAGTACAACAACGATGAGTCCGGCTAGCACTGATGGTAAAAACACCTCCTTGTTGAGCAAGAAAAATAACGAGTCGCTCCAATTCGACAGTATACCTTTCAGCACGCCTCCACATATCACTGCACTCCAACTCTACTACGCTGTGATGCGACAGCAGTTGCAAATGCTACATAAACGCAGCCTGCCTGCTTGGTCCGATAATGTAACCGAAGCAGTGACGTCTGTGACCAGTCCAACTACCCCGACCGTTCATCCGAATGCCGACAGTAGCGACCTGTCCAGGATATGAGTTTTCACCAACATTGTGTCCATTTGCCCTTAAGCAGCTGGTAAGAATTTGCAAGAAGTTTGTGTATGCATACCTAACCTTCGTAATATCCTTCTCTTTGTCAGAATACCGACATTATTTAAAGCAGTTCCAAGATATTATTTGAGCAAGATTGTACATACAACGCTTCCTTCTTGACTTTTCTGTATTATGTGATCTAGGTTGGTCTATAAAATTTGCAAGCCAGATAGCCTTGGACTTCTGATTTGAGATACACTCAGTGAATGAAAACTCTAAGCGGGACAGCCAAACTTTGGTTCTGCCTGGCGTGAATAGATCGCTGAATAAGCTAGCTTGGCTTGGCGAAAAAGTAGCGAAAACAGTATAATAGGAGTTTAATGACGAACGACGTCTCGAAGTGCTTCCTATTTGCAAGAAATACACTCATTTGCAAATCAATTTGGTTTTCACGAAAGACACCTGAATCTCTCGTTTATGATGAGCCCCAAGAAGGGCGAAATCGGTCGTGGGCTGTCGAAGAGTTTTCAGAAACCTTGTGAGAAGTTGCTTCATGCTTGTTTCATCACTTCGGTATAACCAGTATAACAAGCGCTTCTCGAAATGTCACTTTTATCTAACAGGAACATCATGAAAGCACTTTTCACCCATGTTGCGTGAGTCAGCTCTTAAAACACTGCAATCGATTGTTACCCACAACCGTCATCGCAACCGAGAAACCATCTACAAATGTCTTCGTAATAAGTAAGTTATTCCATAAGACAGCGATGTGGTTTAGAAGAAACCAGTGAGGAGCAGGGTGGAGCCTCGATGTCATTGCTTTACCTGCAATTCCAGTCGTAAGTTAATTGTAACGTGGTCCATCTCCGCTTCGCTGTTGACTTGCCAAAAATAAACAATTTGTCTTAAGTTCTATTCAGCCTGTTGTTATGGGGCAAGAACAGACTATTTCATCCAGTATTCAACCACTCGTCCGCATACCCTCGTTTGCAACAGCTTGTTCATGCAGATCTAACTGTGAGCCGTTATCGTACTCCTAGACATATCTTCATCAGAATATATGGAAACGGGTGCTTACTCTGGACATGACGCTGGGTAACTAATAATGTGTACATGATAGGAGAAACTCTAATACAGTCACTTCAGATTCAGTAGCAACCCCGTCATAGTATTCAGCTGAGCACCATTTCCAACGTTCTGGAGGAACCACATGTCTTATCATTTGTCAACAATCTTCACTGCCTTACAGACAAAGCCAACCTATCCACCACTGTGACACATCCTTATGGTTCCCTTCAGACAGGAATCTGAAGTTGTTAATACACAATGCAACTTCAAGCTGCTAGTCTCTCTGGTGAATTACCTCCAGTAGCACCTTGTTTGTTCAGCGGACAGCTACGACTCTCCAAGCTAATTTTGGACGTCCGCAAGTTGGGCTGGTCAGTGAGGTCATTTGGAGTTACGCATGGAACGGAATGAATCAGCGGCGGTTGATCGATTCATCCAGTCGTATTTCAGTAATTTTGTCTACGGTCACAACCACTTCATGATATCATCAGACGCGACGGAGATTGACGTGTACTATAGAGAGGCAAAACAATTCAAGGTTAAAAGATTAGTTAGCGGTATTTGTCGATGGATATTCTGTCTTATAAATAAAGTTCTTTTATACAAAAGCCGAGAAGCACTGCACACGCGTTTCATCCTAACTGGGAGTCAGCAGTAGTGCGTACTCCATATATCCTGTATCCCATATATCCTGACCACTGGTGAACTGTCCGGCTAATAGTGACTGATCACCGGTGTGATTAACTCGTTAGTCCACACGTGGCCATGTTATGTGAATTTTGTGGTTAGCTGGTGAGTATTTCTATACTCTACCAAAACCAATGTTGCCCACAGGTTACTCGTAACTAAATGGTCTAGTCTTCAACCACTTGCTTGCGAGCCTTGAAACTCAGCCTTTTTCTAAACTGGTAGGATGTGCAAATTGTTCTTCTTGGACTCTGGATTCAACAGAGTACTCGTCGACACAGAAAGCTTTCACCATTCCACTGGATTCAAAATCCCCAAACCAAGTCTAGGACTCGTATTCATGTCCTAAGCCAGCAAGCCTGGTTGTAGATGCTGCAAGATATGGCTGCCAATCGTTTTCAGTGGTGTCCTTGCCGCCACTTTCTATGCAGATTGCCTGAACGAGTGTCTGGGGGCTGTATGCACCTTGAAATGATTGTAATAAGCTTTCACCAACTCTCTTCTACGTCCGCTTTCATAATTCTCTTCCCAACAGGGCTTCCAAATAAATCATGTTTGTACGGCAGCGAAGCGTCCATGATGGTGACGATGATTATGGTGCAAATGAGGCCTTGTAGACAGGCTTCACTTAAATGTGATCACCCTTTTAAAAGCCGCTCACTTTGATCCCTTGAAGATTCTCTTCAGACTTCCCCAGGAAACACTGCCTACCAGAATCTAACACTTCTGCTGGTCTTCGGTGGTCATACTAGAAAAGAAAATGCACTTCGGTATGGGTGCTCTTCCGGGGTAGTGGAATTTTCAGATCAATAAATTTTTGGCTAAGATAATCCTACGTTGTGGGTTTTATGGGCAAAAATTGTCCTTGTCTTGATTTTATATTTCAAAGATTTGAAATGTTTTGTTTTGTTATTATGAAAATTGAGGCATAGGATAACATTGGCCTTAAAATGGGTTTCCCTGGGGAACTCTTTCTCAAGACCACATGGATCCATACCTATGACCAACCTGTCTTCGGGGATACTCTTATCATGAGAATATGATAATTGCTACCAAAAGAAAAACTGTATCTAAAGGACACTACCCACAAGGTTTGCTGAAAACTCTTCGACAGCCCACGACCAGTTTCGCCCTTCTTGGGGCTCATCAGGTAGGCGCAGTCTCCGAGTTTCCGTCAACCTTATGATCTACTTGAACCCAAATTGCACTGTTTTCGAGAAGTGCACTCATTTGCAAATCGATTTGGTTTTCACGGGAGACTCAACTGAATCTCTCGTTTATGATGTCCTCCGGCTGAACGTGATGCACACAGGCAGCCTCATGACTCAGTTAGCACGATATTCGAGATATCGCAGTATATTTTCATAAAGGAAACTACTCACAAGGTTTGTTTAAAACTTTTCGACAGCCCACATTCAGTTGGACGACATCATAAACCAGAGATTCAGTTGAGTCTCCTGTGAAAACCAAATTGATTTGCAAGTGAGTGTATTTATCGAAAAACAGTATAATTCGGGTTCAAGTGGAACATAAGGTTGACGGAAACTCGGGGACTGCGCCTACCTAATGAGCCCCAAGAAGGGCGAAACTGGTCGTGGGCTGTCGAAGAGTATTCAGCAAACCTTTTGAGTAGTCTCCTTTACGAAAAAAACTGTATCCATTGTTGACCTCAAATTATTGTGTACATTCCCTGTGATTCCTCCAAGGGTACGTCAAAACGGAAGCCATTGCTAGACACATTAGAGGAACTGAACGTTCTCGCTGGTTTGTGACTATCAATCACGTCAGAGCTGACGCTGCAAAACGTATATTACGTACTCACTACTGGTTAATCAATCAAGTGAGCAGTGAATCAATGAGTTGATCAGTTAATCAATCAATCAACTATATGAACAATCAAGCAATCACTCTATCAATGAACCAGTCAATCAGTAAGTCGATAACCAACCACTCAAAAGCAACAAAAAATTTGCAGGTCCATCTTTATTTCAAGGCTTCATTCTCCATATTATTTGTAGGATTTCGACCGCTGCAAGTGGCAGTCGGTTCCCGTCCTGGTTGAGAGCGAGATATACCCCCTCTAAGTGAACACAATGAATCAATTTCCAGGTTACCAATGGGTATATAGTGAACGACGATACAAAAAATGCTACTCTGGGAAGACTTGTTACCAAAGCCTAGTAGTGCTGAGAAATGAAAATGACAATATCACCCTCGGGGTAAGATTGATTCCGTCTTTCAGGCAAATTACCGGACTGAAGTGTTGGTGAAACAAACGCTCCGACTGTTGAACTTCCTTTCACGCTTTCTCAAGGAAGGTAATTGTAGCCTTTCGCGGCAATAATGAGAGAAATTACTCGACAAATCACACTGTTCGTTTCCCAGTTTTCATTACTGCCACTAAAACTGACTGGATACATTTCAACGACAGAAAACAAACACCAAACTCGCATTTTGCCTGAGAGTGTTATTTTTTATGGTGTTCGCTGCACAACGGAGACGAAGTAATAAAGGAAGATTGCAGGGTGCGAAACATCTCGTTGATAATTATCATCTCTCAAATGAATGTTTGTTGCTGTAGACCAATCCACCAACTTGCTTCTCCGTATGACACCTCTGCCTACTTTGATGAACTTTGTGCAGCAAATTGACACAGTACAGCCACCATGGTAACCGGTCAATAGTTGGCCTGAAGTGCCCGGGGGAATGTTGTACATTACGTCGATCAGATACTTGGGAACATGCAGTTCTTGGAACGATCAGTTAGTGTGATTTTGTTGACATGCTCGGAAACAATTGTCCGGCAGCCAGTGAACCAGCTCTGACAACATGGACCTTTCCACCACAACTCTGACCCGGACAGAAACAGTAACATTCAACATTCGTTTGATGATCTGTTTCCCCCAGATCGCAGTGATAGGCGGAATGCGCACAACCACTTCTCTCAAGTGGTCTAGACTTCAAACGACTGATGAAAAACACAAGCGCACAACAACAACAACCAGAGTGAATTATGGTCTTCGTACTTGGTAAGACCATGTAGCACATGGGGAGCTTTCTGTTTGCCATGCATACGAGGACAACTGCCATCCACTGATTCAGCGCTTACGGAGGTTACGCTGTTTGTCACTTTAACACTTGTATGATGCACCTTGTGAAGGAGAAACCCTCACTAGGGTGCTGAAAACTCTTTCGAAAACCCATAACAGGCTCAATTTTTTGCTTCGGATTCACTAGGTAGGCGCAGT